GTTTAGGTGTCTTTAAATGTATTCCACGTGATGTTGCTGTTGCTCTCTGATCAGACTTATTCTGTTGGCTCAAATGTCGGAAACCTTTAGCGTTTCAATTCATGATGTATCTCAGACAGATGTATGTCAGTCCAAGAAAAACAGATTTGTCATAATGGGACTTTGCAGCTGCGGTTCTGGATCATGCGGTTGTCCATTGCGTACTGCCAGTACTGCTGCTGTGAGCTCCAATCTTGGACAGTGACCTTTTTCAGAGGCACGACACGTTGACTTTCCTGACATGGAGGAATATGTGAACGTCTTCATCTTCATTTAATCATCTGAAGGTAGGTGACAACACGTATCTAATCTCGCTTGCATCACTGAAATGGTGCAGTATTAATTTGTCCATAATTCTTTGGTTTTGATACCATTGACTGCAATCTTGAGCTTTCTATCTGCTTAATCCCAGTGAGCCATCTTATGGGCCCACTGGTTTCCTTGAGAGCCTCCGGGATTTCTCGTCCAACCCACAATTGAGTTTGCACCAACACTCTTGTAAGGACATGCTTTGCAGTGAGAGATAAATGGTGAAAGAAATCAAGTGGGTCATACACACGAGCAAGACTGTTGAAAGGATGCCTTCCCTTGTGGCTAGGTTGAGATTTTAAGCAGATGAAACTTGAAAACATCTCCTCACATGCCACTGTATCCCTAGGGCTCTTTCTATTGGAAGATTGGTCTTGGGGTCTCTAAGTCCAGTTTTTTACTCTTTGGGCTTTTCACTCTTTAGGATGGAGGCCAGCACAGTTTTTACTGTTGCTTTCCATTTGTGCAGATTGAAACCATCCCTTTCACAAAGATCTTGAGTTCTTCACATAGACTTCACAGCTTGATCAGCAGAGCCACAGATTTTAAGCAGTATTCGTCACATAGAATTTTTTTTCCGACAGTGTCAACAGCTTCTGCAGAGAAATCATCTTTGTTGTCTTCAGCGGTTTTAGTGAGAGCAAAGGTTGCACAACTTGCTGTGAAGGTGGCACCTGAATAGATTTAGCTGTCATCCTGTACTCAGCGAGAGGTAACTGACCATCTCCTCCTGCGCCACTAAAGAAAGCGAAGATAATCTTGATCGGCAGGCAGCAACCTTGACCTGATTGATACATCCCCAGTCGACATCAGCCATGAAAGCTATTTGTTCTTGTCTGAATTCGAATGAGCACAGTCCAGTACCTGTTGGTAAGATTGGGACCCTGAATAAGCTTGTCATTTAATGAATATCCTTGATAAGATGCGGAACAATTCGAAACCTACACGAAATGCTTGCCTTCTTTGGGTGATGAACCCCATGGAGGTGGTATGTACACACCCTTCTCCCTCTCAGGTTCTTAGCTGCTCTTGGGAAGTGCTGAGCGTGAACTTTTGCGTATCACAGCCTCCAACCGAATGTTTTATATTCATCATGGAAACTGTTGTTCCCTTGAATTCCTTTTGGCAATGATTCTGCTCTCTGCTCTGCAAGTTTGCGATTGTGTTTGGCATCATTGATAATTTTTTCTGTTTAAATGGAAGTTCGAAGCTGATAATGTCCATCTTTGATTTTGAGCAGAATCTGACATGCATCTTTAAAATTGTTTGTCTTCAACTGACATCTCTTTCTTCTCATACACGACCTTCTCTCTGGAAAGTCATGGTTGTATGTGCTGCAGCAGCAGCTCACCTAACATCTGTCACGATGATCCCGATATAACAATAAGCACGATGAAGTCTTACTCAGATTCAGTGGTTTCCTGATTCAGTCCATTCACAACCAACCTATGGACTCGTCCTTAAACGGCAAAGGGTCCTCCATTTTGACTGTTTATTATTTTCCCGGCCTCCATTAGCTTGGTGCATTTGTTCTATAAGCGAACACCGATTTCACAGCCAATTCAGGCAACTTAATCTCTTAGCAATATTTCCCATTTTATTTACTGGTCTCTTGAGCTGGGAATGTGCTCTTTCAGCAGGAATTTCCTCTTGTGTGTATACTTTAGGCAAGCTTGATTACAAAATCATTGCCTTCAATGCGACTCACTTCAGAGACCTTGTGACAAAAGGAGTGTCATCATTTTCTCCTGACCCATTGGTTCTCTTAAGAGGACATTTTTGTTCTCTTGGCTTTGGCCAATCGGCAATCTTGTTGAAGGGCTTCAGTACAAAACTTGCAGTGGCTTCCTGATCCATAAATGGCATAAGTCTCACACGTCTGGTTCGAGTTTGACAACTTTATTTGAACTCGGGATACATTGGTAGGGTTTTCGTTGACCACCGGCCCCAGTGTGGTTTCTTGGACTATGCCACTACTTACAGAAGCTGCTGGGTGTATTTATCAGAGCTGGGTCTTTTTGGTTCAATCCTTTTCTTGTAGATGTGCAATATTCGGTTGGATGTTTCATTGAACAAACTTCACATTTCATTCTTTTCTGACAGTTTTTGCTTAGATGTCCTTTCGTTAGACACGCCAACAGCAAATTTCCTTGTGCTTTTAAGCAGTCAGTCTTCTTCATTGTGAGCGATTTCTTATGTTCATTCTTACATGTGTTCAGAGGTGTGTTCCTCCTGTACAAAATACACAGCGCTTCATGAATCAGTGAATGCTTTATGTCATGATTTGATTTTTGGAAAGGTTTTTGCTCTTCATGACTCCTGGGCTTGTCACAGTATACAAAACTACTTCCCTTATAAGCCATGAGCAGGCCTTATTGCTGGGTGATTTTGTAGCATTTATATCCCTTTTTGGCATGCATCCTGGTATGTCTCCAAACATGGGGTCCTGATACAATGCCGTGCATGCCTTTTCAATGAAGTCGACCAATATTGGAAACTTTGCTCTTGTCTTATTGTTTCATATATTGCATATGCACCTTGTTCTCCCACCTTTCCCTAAGTTTAAATGCGAGTTTCAGTGATCACCATTTATCATTGTTGATGTGCTATTCATTTCATCCAAAAACTCACATCTTCCATTGTGGTTGGCAACATCCACGAAGAAAGATAGCATAAGAATGCAATGCTTTTCTTCTTCACTCTTGATGGGCATTCCAGTTCACATTTTGTCCATACAAGCTGCTGCGATTAAAGAGGTGGATGTCCTAGTTTCACTTGGACAGTCTTTTGGGCTCCAAAAGCCCTATTTAGAATCCATGTATTGGCAAATTTTGACCAAGTCTTTAGCTTGGCCTCAAGTCATACCGCGCTCTAGAAAGAACAAGCCTGTCTTTGTAAATTGTCAGTTTTACTTCTATTGTATGAGTTCGAACAGATTCTGATGAATCGAAAGGTACTGTAATGGCGCCTCCTTTAAAGATGGGTCATTCTCTATGGATGGGAGTAATTAAGCGGTTGCTCTTCATTAGCATTTCAGTGATTCTTTTGTCGCTGCCATTACTTGAATAAAGTCATTGCTTTCTGTCCGAGAGCTTTGTTGACTTGGATGGAGTGATGCTGCTGTGCTGATGTGCTGTCCTGTTCGTTGTGGCCCTGGTTGATAATACTTGAACAATGGTCCAACTAGAGGGCTGCATGACTTGAGTCTCATGAATGAAGTCTATGAAACTCTTTTTAATTATCCTTGCTCCACAGGTTTTCCTTGGCTCTCTTCAGTCCTGGAATCATCATTTTCCTCTGGCTGACCCGTGTCATAACTGCTCCTCCCCCACACGAGGGTCAGGATGTCGGAGCATCCATACTCCGAAGCTTCCAATGTTTTAATTTGGCTGCTTGCAGCATAAATATCGTTTGAAGCTCAGCTCTTTTCCATTTTAGCTCTAGCTCTTGATATTGGCTTTCCATTGCTTCCAGGTCAGCTTCTTTGTTTTTTACGGTTCAATTTTGTGCTAAGCAAGCAGCGCGTGATATGCGCGCAGCTCTCTCTGCATCTGCTTTTCCTCTTACTCATCACCGCTGTTACAAGCTCTCACTACGACAGTTTCTCATTCTTTTGCTTATCATGCCACTGTTTGCTTTATGTGTTCACACTCTCGTTGCAGTATATGACCTCTCAGACCGGCGCGCACCTGCTCAGGAGGCCAGTCTACTAAACATTCTTCATCACATCTGAACTCTGCCCTCCCGCAATTTTGGAGTCGAACAGTCAACTGATCACTTTCTTGTTCTTCTTCGTGGTATTCGCGACTGCAGTATGCTCGGAGTTGAAAACTCTTTGGACGAGTATGTTGAAAAACCCCCACGACAACCATTTCTTGCATCTCAATATATCCACTATATCTGCGCGAATCTCTCTTTTTTCTTCTCTCCCGCAGCCTTCACATATTTCGTTCTTTTTTTTTTTAATTCCTGCGGTTCTTCCGCTTTTCTGTAGGTCTTATCCCGCTCTTTTTGGTCCTGGACGTCAGCCATTTTCCACAGGCACTTCACGTCTTATCCCAGTTTGGCCATAGGGTTTCTTCTTCTCACATTTCCTTCTTCGCTTGTATGCTATGTCATTAACATCCACTCGTCCAGCTGTATCCTTATTTTATGTTGCGCTTTGGTTTAGTGTGCGGCCCTTGGATCTCGCGCAGTGACCAGATATAAACGCAGACACAACTCATTAACGCTTTTCAAGATCGCTCCTTGATTTAACGTTCCCACACTTTATTCATGAAGCAAATTCTTCTACTTCCAGCATTTAGTGACTGTACTGATATGATGCAACATCCACAACATGCGGGCACAAGCCTTTCTTTTCCACAGAAATTCCACGTTGTCACAATTCCAGAAAGTCATGCGGGTCCTTCCTTGTTCACTCATGAAGATCCTTGTTCACTATGAAGTCCGTGATTTGTAAACTCACGATTCACATCCGCTCGTATCCATTCATTTCCAAGAGTATTTCATTCATTATAATAATATGGTGGCAACCATTTAATTCCACACGTATTTGTCCGTCACGAGAGTTTTTAACAATGTCGTGGCTTCCTTCCTTGTATTTCCATCAAGCCACTAGACGCCTTAAACAGACAGTTCTAACTCGTTTCTTTCCTTAAATTACTCACAGTTTGAAGTGTTGCTTGGCCTCCGATGGTTTAGAAGATGTTGCGAGGTGTTTGCTCAAAATAACATAACAAACATTTGCACATGCAACAAAGAATATAGGCCTTTACAATATTCAAAAGAAATAGGCAAAACTCAAAGTAAAATAACAAAACAACTTAGGTATTCTTTCTGTCTTGATAATGCTTATAACTTAAAGGGTACTTGTACGGTAAGAGTACGGTACGTTACGGTAAGATAAGTACGTTAAAAACTGTTCCTCGACGGCGTCTCTCAACAGGTTGCCCATCACTCAGGCTTTAGCACCGGCGCCGTGGGAATTGTAGTCCTTTTATAGTGCGTTGACTACAGACGTCACAATTAGGTGGCCTTTCTTATCAAATCAAAATACTGGCTCCAACACATAGATCTCTTCATTTTGCTCTCAAAGTGAACCAGATTGATGCATTTAACTTCAATATTTAAAAATAAACCTTCCCGGGGGAGCTTGCCCCCGGACCCCCCTATGTATTGTAAGGTTCACACACCACCTATAAAAATAGCACTTTACCCCTGCTTACACCTATATGCCGTGAGCTGATTATCGAGCCTTCATTGTAACAGTTGCGGGTACGTTGTGTATATGCGTGGGGATTGTTGCAGTAGAACATTCCACTGTAGAGACCGGTACATTAATGGGAAACCCTAAATGTTTGAGCACCCTCTATGAAACGTCAATCTACCCCACAGCACCCCCAAAATAAATCTCAACTTTTTTTTTTCTCCAAAGGCCTGACAGAAAAAGTTTGGGAACCACTGCTTTAGGAGCTGTAGGTGTGTGTGGTACAGTGTGTAGGAGTGTGTTTAGTACAGTGTGTAGGTGTGTGTGTTGTACAATGCGTAGATGCGGCGGACAGAAGGGTCTCAGTTGGTTTGGGGTCCTATGCTTACTTGTAAATACAACTTTTGGCCCGTAATTTAAATCCCCCATTTCAGCGACCAGAGAGAGGGGGAGGGGGGAGGGTTACGTTATTATGAGAGTGCTTTCATACTTTAAATTCTATATATTTATATAAATATATATGTGTGTGTGTGTGTGTGTCTGCATCTGTAGCCTGTTATTGTCTTATTATACCGCACTGTGAATGAATTAAAAGTACATATATAAGTCATCATGAACACATCTGTCCATCAGACAGAGGGCTGCTGTGCCTCCTGTCATCATTAATGGACGTCTCTTTAAAATGACCGCTCAGAGGAGAGGAGTTCTCATTTCTCTAACCGCCTGCTGCTTCCCCTCCTCTCTCCTCGGTTCCCTTCCTCAGTCCTCCGCTCGCATCTCCTGTGGGCGGGAATAAGTCTCGAGGATAGGAGTAGAGGAGGGGAAATTAGAGTATTGAGAAGCCTCTAAAGAGTCTTTAGAGATCATGCTGTCATAACCTCACTGCTGGAATGTATGTAATTTATTGGAGCTTATTCAATAAGAAGGATGAGTAGGTGAGAGACTTTACATTGTATCAATCAATCATTTTGATCACGATGAGTTGATGCTATTAATCAGGGATGTCTGTGTATCCAGAGTCTATTTTGACTTAGTTTATTTTGACACTGTGCTTTTGTCCTATATAGTCATTAGAGCACCCAATGTGTATTAATCCACCACTGCAAATAGTCCCCAACAAATTCACTATTTCTACCTAAAGTTAAAGTTATGTTGGTATTAAGAATAATTTTGTTGCCATTTTAAATGTTGGTCTTTTCAAGAGGAAAGCAAACAACCAAGAACTATATTAATATTACCGGCCTTATCCTTTATCGTAAAATAGGATTAGAAAAATACAGTGAGTCTCAACAAAGTCAACCACATGTAGACTCACTCAAACAGTACAACTGCAAATGACTGCACCAGTCTGTAGAAGGTGGCTTCACTCACACACTTGGAATGACAGCGCTGTGAAAACAGTGAGACAGAGAGTTAGAAGCTTGTTCAGGGAAGGCTCAGCATAAAGACAAGACCATTTTATTTCCTGCATTCATGTAGACTTTTTCACTTATTAAATGTTATGTTTGGGTCCAACAAGAAGCTGTAATTCCTTGTCTAATGCATTTTGGAATATTGCAGTTATTTTTGCCTCTGTATGAATGTGTGTGAGAATAGGTGAATGCTGTCATTTACCACTTAAAGGTCACATATGACGTCAGACTAGCTACCATTTAATGTTTTACCCATATTCACCTGTGCGCTGACGTATTTGGCAAACCACTCCCTGCCTTTGCCATTCTCTCCACTGCACAGCTCTCCAAAACGAGCCTTCTCTTCCTGGTCAAAGTCCTCCCTGTGACAACATGGTCAAACATTTGTGTTGAAGTTAAAAAAAGCGCCACGTGCACATTACGTTTATGATTGCATCATTGAGCTCATTTTAAGTGTTTATATGGATACACAAATTGACTACACTCCATGGATAAAATGCAGCACAACTGCACCAGCTTCTGAGAGATAGGACCCCCTAGAATGGTTAAACCAAGGAAAGACCCCCAGAAGGGAGCCATTCCCTCTAGCTACCTGCCAATAACCTGCCTCTGCTCAACATGGAAGGTCCTGTCCTGTCAGGCATCATTGCAGCTAAGATGAGGATACACATGACTGAAACCAACATTGAAACATTCCTCCACAGACCAAAGGACCCTGCCACTAAATAAATTGTGAATGGAGGATTCATCACCTCCCAATCCCCGCCCAACATGTATTGCAGACATGTAAAGCGAAGGTGCAAAGTAGGGGATGACAACTTTTTTTTTTGCCTAACACAAACACCTGAATCCAGAGAGAAGAATGCAAAGATGTAAAATCCAGCACAGCACATTGTTGCACTACAGCCAATACTACACAATGAAGATATATCTAAGGCATAAGATAGGAATTGATAGGCATGAATTCACCAACAGGGTTTGCTCACTAAACATAACTGGTAGGAAGCTGTAGGTCATAACAGGGAGATTTCACAACTCGAGATTGCATGGCAAAAAAAACCTTTTAGACAAGATGTATTAAGACATACAGAAGTTGGTCTGCTATCTGTAGGATGGGACGGCGTGCCCCCCTGATCAGGCCTGCAGCAAAACTGCTAGAAAAGTTCAATAGTTCATTAAATGTCTGTGGAATGCAAAACAAAAAGGAAACCAGATATTTACAATCGCTTTTTAGCATTTCATCCTGTTCACATTGAATTTCTTGTCAAATACTTGTGAGTCTGTTGGACCCCTTGGCAATCTCTGAGTGGGGAAATGCTTCATATTCAGTGTGACAAAAATGGAGCCTTGTGAATCTCATGATAAGTCAACACACAGGCTAAAGCAAAACAAAAAATGGTTGGCACTAATCATTCAGGAAGAACAACAAATGGTGCAAAACATATCACTTCATCAACAAAAAAACAACAGCTGATTCTATAAGGCCTACTGCTGTGTGCTGAGGAGCTACCATCAAGGATATTGATACTGCAGAGACTGGAGCGTCAGCAGGCATTGTGAGAGGGAACCATCAGGTCCATCTCAGAGAGAACTCAGCCCTCTCTGACGGCCCCTTCACCCTTCATCTGTTCCCCTGAAGCTACAGTACAACATGGTGGCAGCCATCCAGCGACATGACGCTTGCTGCCCAACATCTCTCAGAGAGGGTGGGTTAGTAGTCTGTAGTGTCTCTGAGCTACTCTGGACTCCTCTATACTGTTTGTTTCCATGCTGTATGTAAATTCACTGCAAATCTACACGTTCAGCACAGAGCAGCACAAAGCAGCAGCTTTGGGTTTCCGTTTTCATAACTCCAAAACAGGTTGGTTAGCTGGGGCAATGGATTTTGATAAATTATCCTGACTACAACCAGAAGTAGTTTAACTTCACAATTACCATAGGGAGAGTCAGCTCAGATGATACTGTTGATCACATGTGTCAAACTCAAGGCCCGGGGGCCAAATCAGGCCCTTGGTGGATTTAATTTTGGCCCGCAGGATCATTTTTAATTACTATTAGATCTGACCCGCCGGTATATTGCACGCACACCTTC